CACATTTAGACCCCGAGTGACATTATTAATCCAGTCACCATTTTCCTAACCGATAGCCTCATTAATGTCAATGCCATTATGTCTGTCCTATCCCAGACCCCAGTTGCTGACCCTGTTACCGTCATCACTTGCTGGTTGGCCATGCCATTGAGACACTTCTCCTTGTCTCTGGGAGAAGAGACCGGCCTCAGCACAGCCTCCACTCCCACCTCCATGAAGATCCCTGAGGCCAGCTCCTCCCTTTGAGCTTAGAGTCCCTGCCTCCATGGCATGCACCAGTGAGTCCCATGATCCTCCAGGAAGTACCATTCATGTTACCCCTACCTCTTTCCCCATCCCAAAGAAGGAGGCCATTGTCCCAGAAGGGTTAATAAGCAAGGCAAGGAAGGGGCCCCTTAAAATGTGATGCACTCTGACCTTTCGTAAATCATAGCAGCAGGGTTGCGAATTGGGGGGGGTTGGAGAGGAGGAGGAAAGATTGGTGAGCCTTTGGGGGGGGCAGTTGGCCCGAAGCAGCTGGGCTGACATTGACATTGTTTCCACCATCTATAAGGCCAACAAATCCCTCTATTGTGTTCCCGGTTTATCTGGTTCCTCTTATTTATTAGCTGAGGTTGTTTGGCAGAGATTTCAGCCCTGGGCGTGTGGAAAAAATTCTGGCACGCACCATGGGGGGGGGAGGCAGTGGGGGGGGGCTCCCTCTCATCAATGCCTGTATTGTCCCATCCCTTTCTGTTTCTACTGTAATGATATGCTCCAGGGAAAAAAAAGAGGGGGGTGGAATCAAAAGAAAGAATGGCGGAGGGGACTCGTTGGGGATTGTTGTCTGGGCCCTGAGCGGATGTGTCCGCAGCTGGGGAAGGACGGGCCTGAACGGAGCTGGGCCAGGGTGCCCCGAGGGACGGGGGCGGAGGGGAGCTAGCTCCTTTCCCAGCCTCACCTCCTGATGCCTGGCACCAGGTCCCCCCACCATCCTCCCACTGGGGCTGGGGACATCCGCCAGGGTCCCTATCTCTCTACCTATCCCCTCATCCAGGCTGGCCCTAAATAAGAATAATACCAGATGTAATCATAGTTCATTAACAATGAATTACGAAGCGCTTTTGTCACATCCGCTGAAGAAGATAGCTGAGGATTTAGTATCCCCTCCTTAGCAGATGGGGAAACTGAGTCATGAAATGAGGCAATGACTAGCATGAAGAACCAATGTAATGGGCCGAGTTTTGGACCCACATTCTCTGACTCCAGGTCCAACGTGCCTTCAACAATACCGGACTACTTCAGGCCCAAGGTGGTCCCAAAATGGAATCATGAGACAGAGGCTGGAGTGTGGTTATGTTGTGAGGGATGGTACCCAACAGGCATGAGTCTGATCCTACAGTTCTTGGTTATGCATAAGCTGATAATGGACTTGAGCAACATTCACAACAAACCAGGAGACCTTGGACAAGTCACGTCCTTTCTCCGGTTTCCTCCTCTGTGATGTAAAGGGTCTTGGATTAGATGATCTCCCAGGTCCTTTCCAGCTCTGATGATCTGTGGGCCATCTGGAACGGCAGCGTACGTCATCTAATTGGAACTGTCCGTCCAGCTCTGCCACTCACTTGGTGAGTGACTTTGAGTAAGCTGCCTTAGCGCTTGGAGCCGCCTCCCTTCCTCATCTGTGAAGTGGGGAGAATCACCACTGCCCTACTGTGCGCACAGCTCAAACGAAGGAGACTAGACACGGAAAGGCTTAGAAAAGTTACTGGTGTCTTAAACAACATACAGTGAAAAGAGCATTGGGTTTAGAGTCAGAGGACCTGGGTTTAACCTGGCACACCCCACCTCTAGTCCTCCTTAGTGGTGTGACCTTACACAAGTCACTTCACCTCTCCAGGTGGGCCTCAGTTTCCTCATCTGTAAAAAATTAGGCAAATAGGCTAGAGAGCCTCTAGGGTGGGTCCCTTCCAGCTCTGTCCCCCAGGCCCAATTCTGTGATCCATCTTAAGGCTTCTGTGGCTCTTTCCTTCCACCATGCAAGGAAGCTGTACAGGTATTGATGCCATCTTATAGAAGAGGAAGAACAGTCCCGGACCTTGCCCATGGCCCCACAGAAGCAGAAACCAGCACCCCGCTCCTCTTCCCCTCCCACCACTGACCTCCTCAGCTTCTTTCAAGTCCCAACTAAAACCCTGCCTGCTACCCGAAGCCTTCCCCAGCCCCTCTTCACTGTAGTGCCTTCTCTCTGTTAATTATTTCCCATTTATCCTGTATCCTATTGTCTGTTTCCATTAGATTGTAAGCTCCTTGAGGGCAGGGGCTGTCTTTTGCGTCTTTTTTGTGTCCCAGACGCTTAGCACAGTGTCCTGGTATATAGTAGGTGCTTAATAAATGTTTATTGAACTGAATTGGACTCCTGACTCTTCTTTCTGGGGATAGGGTCCAGGCATCTGGCTTCTCCTTCCCTCTCCTTGATAACCTTTCCGGTGTGGTCATCACTGGAGAATTGGTGGGCTCCAATAACAGGAAGCTGGGTCTTTGGCCAGAGCTGGAACTGTCCTGGGGTGACTTGGGCTTTTCTCAGAGTACTCACTTGGCAGGGAGGGCACACGTTTCTTCTGGCAGCAGTCCTCCCAATTCACATTTCCTTGGCCCCATCTGTCCACTCCCTCACGTGGCCCTGGACTGAGGGTCCTGTCATTGTCATGTCCCCCTTTTCCCCAACACCAAACTGTACTGGGCTGGGGCAGACCCCACCCACCTCACCACACCCGACCACAGGGATGCCAGATCAGCCACAGGACACGTCAGTGATAGGAAGATGTGCGTTGGCCTGGGACATCTCTGTGTCTGCCCCTTCCCCAGTCCCCGTAAATGACTTTGCTGAAGGCACAGTCATTGCTAGTGCAGCTGCCTGGACCAGTGTCCCTCTTTCCCAAAGGAAGGCAGATCTAAATTGCCTCCTCCCACCCTCTGCCCTTAGGTCCGGGCCCTTAGGATGGGACTAGGAACCAGACAGTGAAATCAGCTTCCATCAGTGTCCTCTGGCCCCTTGTCCTGGCTTGTTCGTAGCTTTTGGCTGAGAGTGGGTTCTGGAGCATTGTGTCACGGTGTGTCAGTAATCTGGTTCCTGCCAGGACCCAGTTAGGCTCCTGCGAGGTCACTAGTGAGTGGTACGAGACTCCATGACCTTCGTGTGCACAGGAAGGTTCCTGATACTTGTCTACAGGACCCCTCATCAACTGAGATATCTGCGAAGCACTTAGCACAGTGCCAGGCACATAGTAGGCACTTAATAAATGCTTGTTCCCTCCTTTCCTCCACTTTTTCTCCCCCTTAGCTGACATATCGGGGTAGATAGGTGGTATGATGAACAGAGCACCAAGCCTGAGGTCAGGAAGACTTGTGTTCAAATCCAGCCTCAGACACCTGGGCAAGTCACCCCCATTTGTCTGTTTCTTCATCTGTCAAATGAGCTGGAGAAGGAAATGGCAAACCACTCCAGTGTCTTTGCCAAGAAAACCCCAGATGGGGTCACCAAGAGTCAGACACAACTGAAATGACTGAACAGTGTACAGACAGATCTAGTCTGAGGATGGGGCTGTTTCAATCACACCATTTGGGGTTTTCTTGACAAAGATACTGGAGTAGTTTGCCATTTCCTTCTCCAGCTCATTTGATAGATGAGGAAACTGAGGCAAACAAGGTTAAGTGACTTGCCCAAGGTCGCATAGCTACTAAGTGCTTGAGGCTGGATTTGAACTCAGGTCTTCCTGACTCTAGGCCTGGTACTGTGTCCACTGGGTTGCCCAGCTGCCCATCAAGGACCATAGCTAGAAGGAACCTTAGAGTCCATCTCATCTAAACTCATCATTTTACAGATGGGGAGACTGAGGTTGACAAAGATTAAGTGACTGTCTCCATTTTGTGGCCCAGTTGTTTTGTTTTGGGGGGGAGGGGGTCAAAAACTACTCTATGCATAGCCTGTTTTAGGGATCTGTTTGAGGTTGGTGTCAGCCTACCGGCCAAAGCCAGATATCAATTTGAGACCCTGGTTAGGGGGGCCATTTGTAAAAGGGAATCAGTGTTAACTCACGAGGAAGGGATGGCCCCATGGGCATGGATTCTTTGAGCTCTAGCCACTGAACTCCACCAATACAAGATTGTCATTGGTAGCATCCCTTGCTTCTCGGTGTCCAGAGAATTCCAGCCCGTGGTACCCATTGAAACAGCAGATGGGCACATGAGGCTTCCTTCTAACAGGAATGCCCCTCTGAATAGCCAGGGAAAGAGAAAGAGGCTCAGAGCGTGTGTGTGAGGGAAGGTGGAATATTTAGGGGAAAGGCATGTTTGCTGTCTACTGAAAGGCATGGGGGGGGATTTCCAAAGTGGGCTCTTGTCCCTGTTGAAAGCCTGGGGAGCAGGGGTTTGGGGATTAGACATCCTAATTATTGGAAGAGGGATGAAGGCCTCTATAGTGGAGGAGAAGAGAAAAGAAAAGGAGAGAAGAGAGGAGAGAAAAGGGAGGAAAGGGGAGGGGAGAGAAGAGACCAGAACTGGGAGGGGTCTTAGAGAGCTGGGAGGGAGCTTAGAACATGACTGTCAGAGCTGGGAGGGAGCTTAGAACATGACTGTCAGAGCTGGGAGGTGCCTTAGAACAGGGAGTGTCAGAGCTGGGAGGGAGCTTAGAACAGGGAGTGTCAGAGCTGGGAGGGAGCTTAGAACAGGGAGTGTCAGAGCTGGGAGGTGACTTAGAACAGGGAGTGTCAGAGCTGGGAGGGAGCTTAGAACATGATTGTCAGAGCTGGGAGGGAGCTTAGAACAGGGAGTGTCAGAGCTGGGAGGGAGCTTAGAACCTGAATGTCAGAGCTGGGAGGGAGCTTAGAACAGGGAAGGTCAGAGCTAGTCCTCTGACTCCAAAACCAGCACTTTTTCCATATCACCACTGTTCACTTCTCTGAGTCTCAGCTTCCTCCATTTTTCTGTAAAATGGGGATAATAATGCCCACAAAACCTACCTCACACAGTTGTAAAAATCACACCAGATCCCGAATGTAAAGGTTTGCCGGCTTCAAAGCTCTGAAGAGGCGTCAGGAACCAACACCTAGAACGGGGCAAACCGTGTTCTGAAGCCTGAGGAAGAAGGTGCTTATTGCCTCAGAAGATCAGGGAAGGGGAGGGCAGGAAGCTCCTCGCTCTGTAGCCCCTGGGAGCCACGGCCAGGGTTCCACGTCTGGGTGAGTGGGGCTCCTGGGCTGCCTCCATCACCCGCTCGGCTCAGTGCCCAAGGGGTGGGGGTGGGTGGGCGTGGCCGCCTCTGGGAGGGGGAGGGGATGCTCTGATATTCATTTCCTGTGACTTTGATTAATTCTGGTTGGATTTCAGTTGTTGGGCAGTTAGCAGGTCGGGCGTCAACAGGAAACCCCTCTAAGAACAGACATCTTTGTGTCTATCTAGAGTGAGCAGCTCGCTCCACTGTGTGAAGGAACGCGGGCTCGCGTTACACTGGGGGATTCCCGAGGGCAGGATCTGTCTCAGTCTTTTCTTTGCACGCATAGCGCTTAGCAGCGCCAGGTACCCAGAGGTGCCTAATCATTGCTTATTGACAGACTCTCAGTGTCATTCTTTTCTGCTTTCCTGCATAACCAACCCCCTTTCAACTTTACTGCTGGAGCAGTCTGCATTTGGTTGGGAAGGCAAGAACAGACTAGCCCAGGGATTCTTAATCTGGGGTCTGTCAGTTCTGATCTTCTCTCTTCTAAGTCTCCCCTCAGCTCTGACCTTCCCGTTCTAAAGTCCCTCCCAGTTCTACCGTTCTCTGTTCTATGCTTTTAACAGTGTGGGTGGGTCATTGGGATATTGATGTGGGAATGTGTTTATTGAGAAAGGGTGTGTTGGGAAATTGATGTGCCTAGGGGCAGAGAAAGATGTGAAGGGACTGTGTCCACAGGCACATTTGTGTATGTGAATAGGTACATGGACATGTGTATGGGGGGAGTGGATAGATATGTGTGTGTATGTGGAAGGCTGAGTAGGTCTATCAGTGTGTTGGGTTTTTTTTGTATTAAGACCCAGTTGAACTCCTGTGTCAATGAATTCTCAAAGCTTCTAAGACCCTTTATTCAAACCCTTGAAATAGGTAAGATGCTGTAGGTAGGGATCCTTCCTGGCTCTGATGCTTTGGGGACCTGGCCCTGTCTATCACATGACCCAAGCCCTGGTGCCAAATGGAGTCTGACCTCTGAGGGCTGCTTCATCAGCTGAGAGCCCTGTGACCTCCTCCTGCTTGGAGCTGGACAGTGTCCAAGAGTCCCTTGGGGAGAAATCATACCATCTCCTCACAGTCTGTTGAGAGATGTCTGGGGTGGGGAGAGGGGACCTTAGGATTACCAGTTTATTGTCACCGAAACCACCCAACAAGCGTCCAAGACTCATAGAATGTCAGGACTGGGAGGGACTTCAGATTGTGGAACATCAAAGCTAAGAAGGAAATCAGAGATCATCTAGTCCAATGCCCCCATTTTATAGGTGGAGAAACTGAGATCAAGAGAGTTTCTTTAGGTCACAAGCTGGTCTATTGACTTCCAAATCCACTATTGTTCCACTATAGACTCTTGGGCTTGGCGAAGACCAGCATCTCCAACCTAACTCAACCCCGGTGGTGACTCCCCAAATGCTATGGGCCTACATCTGCTAAGGGAGAGACTACAAAGTTTTAGGAAAGGTAGAGACTGAGGTGGTTAAATCTTCCACTGCAAAAGCCAATGGAATAGTCCTGAGTGATGGACAAAGATGGCACCGGTCTCAAGGTGAATGGCAACCCAGCCAGCTGGTCTCTTCTCTGGCAGTATTTTCAGTTGACCTTACAGGACGGTATCCTTAATCCTGGCTGAATGAATGAATGAATAAGCATTTATTAAGTGCTTACTGTGTACCAGGCACTGTTTTAAGGACTAAGGATACAAACAGAAAAAGTGAAGCTCACATTCTAAATGGAGGAGTTAGAGAGAGTGAAGGCATAAGGCTGATGGAAAGGGCCAGAAGCCCCAGTAATCAGCAGGACAGGGTGGCACGGCCCATGAGTCTTAGGGTGGGTTTTCTTACCTCAAGTCTAACAACAAGATAATGATGTAAAAGTCACTATTTGGTGCCTGGTCAGTCAATAAGCATTTATTAAGCCTCTAGTGTGTGCCAAGCACTGGGGATACAAAAAGAGACAGAAGACAGCCTCTGTCCTCAAGAAACTTACAATCTGTTGGGGAGGAGGGGAGACGAAAAGCAAACAAATATGTACGATTCAATTCAATAAACGTTTACTAACTTACTGTGTGCCAGGTACCGTGCTAAGGCTGAGGATGAAAAAAGAGGCAAAAGACAGGTGCTGCCTTCAAGGAACTTACCCTCCAAAGGGGAAGACAGCATACAAACCAATCTATACAAAGCAAGCTAAATATACGGGATAAACAGGAAATATTAAAGGGAAGGCACTGGAATTAGGAGGGGCTGGAGAAGGCTTTCTGTAGGAGGGGGGATTTTAGGTGGGACTTAAAGGAAGCCAGAGAGGTCAGTAGTTGGAGCCAAGGAGGGAGAATGTTGTAGGCATGGGGAACAGCCAGAAGATACCCAGAGCCAAGAGACAGAATGCCTAGTTCGTGGACCAGCCAGGGGGCTGGTGTCATTGGAGGAAGACTGTGTGTTGGGGAGTAATGTTAAGAAGCTTGGGAAGGTAGGAAGGGTTATAAAAGGCTCTGAATGCCAAACAGAGCATTTTGTAAGTGCTTTTGGAGGGAATAGGGAGCCACTAGAGATGGTAGGGAGGTGACGTGATTGCACCTGTATTTTAGGAAAATCTCTTTAGTGACTGAATGGAGGGTGGATTGAAGTGGGGGAGACTTGAGGCAGGCAGACCCCCAGCAGCTATTGCAGTAGTCCAGGTGTGAGGTGATGGGGGCCTGCCCTAGATTGGGTGCGGTGTCAGAGGAGAGAGATGCTGCAGACTGAGATTGGCAGGCCTTGGCACCACATTCTCCATGAGGGGTAGTAAAGAATCCAGGATGACTCAGTGATGTGAGCCTGGGGGACTGAGAGGATGATATTGCCCTCTATAGTAGTGGGGAGAGAGGGTTTAGGAGGAAAGATGAGTTTGGTTTTGGACATCTCAAATTTAAGATGTCAGTTGGACATCCAGTTTGAGATGTCTAAAAGGCAGTTGGAGATGTGAGATTGGAGGTCAGCAGAGAGTTGGAGGCAGGACAGGTGGATTGGAGAGGCGTCTGCACAGAGATGGTAATTAAATCCATGGGAGCTAATGAAATGATCATCAGGTGAAGAAGTCTAGAAGGAGAAGAGAAGGGGGCCCAGGACAGAACCCCAAGGAACATCTATGGTTATAGCATGATCTGAAAGAGAATCTGCCAAAGGAGATGGGGAAGGATCAGTCTGAGAGGAAGAAGGAGAACCAGGAGAGAAGAGTATCCTAAAAACATAGAGAGAAGAGGATACCACGACAGAAAGGTTGATCCATGGTGTCAAAGGCTGCAGAAAGGTCAGAGGGAATGAGGATTGGAAAAAGGCTGCTGGATCTGGCCACTAAGAGATCATTGGTGACTTTGGAGAGAGTAGTTTTGGTGGAATGATATGGTCTGAAGCTTAGTCCAGGGGGTGAGAAAGAGAGTGGAAGGAGAGAAAGTGGAGGCACCTACCTCCATTTTGGCAGCTGTTTTGAGGAGTTCACCTACAAAGGACAGAAGAGAAATAGGACCAGAGTTGTCAGGGATGGAAGGATCAAGTGAGGGTTTTTTTCTGGATGGAGGAGACATGGGCATATTTGTAGGCAGTAGGAAATGAGCTGGTAGAGAGGGAGAGAGTGATAATAAGTGACAGAATGGGGGTGACAGAGGGGGCCATCTGTTGGAGGAGATGGGATGGAATGTGGTCCCTTGAACAAGTAGAGGAGTAGCCTCGGAAAGGAGTAAGGCCACCTCATCACATAAGACAGGGGTGAAGGAGAGAGGAGCAGAAGCATCTGAGTGATAGGAGGTGAGGAAGAGGGGAGAAGAGGGAGCTGATGACGAATGGCTTGATTTTTTCTGTAGAATATGAGGCAAGATTCTCAGCTGAGAGAATGGGAGGAAGGGGAGCTGTGGGAGATTTGGAGATGGTTGTAAACATTTGGAAAAGCCGCAGTGGAGAGTGGGCTAGTGAGCTGATAAGGGAGGTATAATAGGATTGCCTGGCAGCAGCGAGGACCCGGTTGAAGTTATGTACCAAATCTGTAGTGGGCTCAGAAGAATTGTGTGATTTTCTCCTTCTTCATTCTACCTTGACACATGTGTAGGCAGTAAATGGTGGGAGTGATTCAAGGCCAAGGCTTGTCTGGGTGTAATCAGTGATATGATAAAAGGGCCATCTCCAGTCGTCCTGATCTATATCTGGCCACTGGGCCAGATGGCTCCAGAGCAGAAAGTGAGGCTGGTGACTTTGCACAGCCCTCCCTCACTTAAATCCAATTCACTTGCAAGTCATGCTATCGTCTTCCTGATACCATGGTCCTCTTCAAGAGTGAAGGATGAGCAGCAGCAAAAGTGGCTTACATGCAATTAGTGCTTTCCAGGGTACTTCCTGATGTTGTAGTCCTCTTTGAGAATGAAGGACAAACAGCAACAGAGATTCAAGAGAGGAAGATAATTTAGAGTGGAGTTGGTTCACCAAGTAGTCAAGATGGACGAAGGGGAGAGAGTGGCTTGTGCGAGTGACATGGCCTGGGAGAGGAGACCTCAGGGAATTGGAATTCCTGGTGCAGGTGAAGGGTAGGGTTATGCAAGGGAAGGCAGAGGGAAAGATGAAAAACTAATAGGTTATGTTTGGATGAGGGAATGAACACGGAAATGGTACATTTGTGTGATGGCGAGATCAAGGGTATGGCCATTTCTGTGTGTGGCTGAGGTAGGGTGGAAGGGTAATTCATGAGAGGTGACTAGGTTGAGGAGCTGAGTGGTTAGGGTAGTTGAGATAAAACCAAATGCAAGTTGCAGTCCCCTAATATGAGAGCAGGAGTTGGGGAAGAGAGAAGAAGCTAGGTATTTAACTCATTGAGGATAGAAGAGGAGTGAGCTGGGGGTTTGTAGACAACAGCTACTAGGATTTTGATTGGGTGGTAGAGATGAGGCATGACCTCAAAGGAATATAAGTTACTGAATGAAGGAAGAATAGAGATAATCTGGAAGTAGCATTGCGGTGCAAGGAGTATTCCAA